CTCACCAGCGCACTTGAGTTATCATAATAATGAAACAAAGGAAAAACAAAAGTCTAAGTTAACATTAAAAGGAATCATGACTAATTCAATATAATATTTGATTTTGACTTGAATGCAAAATACCCCACATCTTGACAACTAATAAACCCTAAATCTTCTCTTGTTCATACACAATGTAGTATAGTAGAATTTGTGTGCTAGATGTTGAGAATATGAGTGAGAGAGAGAGGGCTTTACCTTGTGAGTTTTGTTGTCTTCTTCTTCAAAGTGATTCTTGAGAAGCTCTTGTAATCTGATAACATCCACTACCGATTTCAGTACTAAAACACATACACAGAACCAATTTTTGAGAAAATTTAATAAACCCTAAATATAAAATTCTGAATCTATCAACAAATATATAAAAAAAGAAACTTGACAAAAATTACCAAAAATAGCAATCTCGATCTAGAAAAATAGGGAGAAAAAGGAACACTTGACCCAAATAATTCCTAGCTTCAAGCTGGTCAAATTTTCAGATATAGCAACACTTGGCCCAAATAAAAATCAAAAATCGGAGGAGAAATTTGAGAAATCTAGGTAATCTATGAAACAGTTGAATCGAAAACTCAAAGAAGAACCCAGGATCCCTATCACACTAGTGCGAAAAACACGGAGAGAAAGAGAGAAAACCACAGTACCCTTCTTCTTCTTCTTCGACTGGTTACTCCATCATCATCATGCTGCTGCTTCGTCGTCGTCGTCGTCTATCTGTAGAAATTGGCCAATGGCTCTCACAGTGTGAAGGAAGAGGGACCAATGGGCATTGATTTGGTCCCGCAAATCTCGTAGCGAAGCGCCTCTTCTCTCTCTCTCTCTCCTTTCTATTTGTTGAACCGAGAGAGTGCGGTGGAAGGAAGATACCTTTTGAAATACCTAATTTACCCCTGGGAACGTTGTCGGGAATCTCAGAAAGCCCTGCCACGTTGGCTTTTCGTTTTTAAAATATTTATTGCGATAATTCTTCTCAGTTACTCCTTTGACACGTGGCACGACGACCGCTCCTTTATAGCCGTTGAAAGGTACGGAGCTAGCGCAAGGGTTCTCAGACTCTCTCCACCATCAAGAGGCTCTATTATAATAGTAACGGGTCTTATTGGTAACAAGCTGTTAGCTGTTAGCTGGAGCGGTTAGCTGGAGCTGTTAGCTGTTAGGGAATAGTGCAAAGCTGTACAAAAGAATAAAACACGAAAGCTGTACAAAAAAATAACGCAGATCAAATTTAAAAAATTTACTCTGATTGGAAAAATCATAACGGTACACATAATAAATAATATTAAGAATTTAGAAAGAAAAAAAAATTACATAGAAATGTATTTTAGTATATAATTACATATGAAAATTAAGATTATATAGAATGAACAATATCTTCCGTAACCGTTTCTCAACCGTAACCGTATAAAACGGTTTAAAACCGTAACCGTTAACCGTAAAAATAATTAGTTACAGTTAAAAAATATATTAACCGTAACCGTTAATTAACGGTAAACATATGAAAACCGTTATTTAACTATATGGTTAACCACATAGTTAAAACTTTAAAAATATAGTTGTAACTCCATATAATGCAAAAACAATTATCGAATGTTCAGATTAAGATTTTCAAAAAAGTAAATGATACCGCATATGAAAAAAATTTACGTTATATGTTGTACTGTTATTTTTCTCAAACAAATATGTTGTACTGTTATTTTGCTCGAAATGAAGAAAATTTGGTTTGTAACATACTTTTTGATTTTATGAAAAGTATTATAATAAGTTAGTTAACTCGTAAGATTTCGCCTCCGATATTAACCGTATTGTAGTCATCAAATAACTATAACCGTAATTATCCGTAACCGTTGTAACCGTAACTGTAACCATGTTTAACCGTAACCGTTATAACCGTATTTAACCGTAACCGTTATAACTGTATTTAATCGTAACCGTATTTAACCGTAACTGTTTTAATTTGTTTTTGTTTTTGTCCAAAAAAAACTGTTTATGTTATAGTGTACCGCTTTTCATAAAGCTTTTGTGATTGGTAACTGTCAAAGCTGTACAAAGCTAGCTGTACAGCTTTAAACTTGGTTACCAATCATAGCCAACATTTTATTTTACTTCAGCTTTTGTCCAAAAAAAAAAAAAAAAAAAAAAAAAAAAAACTTCAGCTTTTTATTTTACAACTTTTTTGATTAATATTTTCCACATATATTATTACTACTGACATACCATTTTACCGAACAAACGTGAAATTAGTTAAATAGCGAAAATCACGGATCGCTTTTTCTATTTTTGTCGGTCCATTTTATCATAGAATGTATTTTTTATATGATAAAAAAATATATAAAGTCAAAAGTCATTAACCATGATTCCAAAACCTCTCAGTTTTTCTTCCCTCGAGTCATAAACCCTAATCAACTGTAATTAATGCTCCATGTGCTGAATTTTATCCGCAAGCCCAATTTACAAATTAGTAACAACACATTTATTTTACTATTAACCTCTGGAAACCAATGTAAGAGTAAAAGTTAATCGGTAACTTATTATCTAATGTGTTTGTGACTTAACTACCTAAAACGTAAATTTAAATCCAATGTATAAATTGGTAACATAATTACGTAAACTTTGACCCGAAATCCCATGGTCTAAGTTGGTAAGTGAGAACAAAAATGTTACTTTGTTGGGAAAAAACAGTAAGGTAAGTTTAGGACATGTTTTTTTTGATTAAATCTACCTATTAAACAAGCTTAAAAGAGTAAGTTAGAACTTAGAACAAATCATATATGTCACATTATCTTTTTGATAAATTATGAGCTATATATAATATATGTGTGTGTTCAAATTTTAGGTTCCTTCTGACGATTAAATTTCATCGTTTAGTAAAACGTCGATTACGATGGACTGATAGTGAGTGTAGTGTAAGTGATTCAACTATTGGGTAACGAAGTTGTATGTGGATGTCTGGTGAAAACTCTACTTCTTTGACCATGTCTCATATAATGCCTAGTACACGGTAAAAATAGTTTTCGAGATGATATATTTGCTTTGCTCCCATCATAAGTTATCTTTCAGTCGGATCATACGCATAGTTTTTGGATATCACGAAAGCCCGAAACAAAAATGCCAGAAGAACAGAAAATATTAGCTTAAATCTTCACTGGGCTCACACATAAAGCCCATTAGAGCAGCATTATCGGTCGTTCCTTAGCAGATTTCTAAAAACACAAGAAATACTAATATTTTAATGCTACAATTATATTCTAGTTTTTTAATATAGATAACCCATTAATAAAAATGCACGTGTCTGTTGGTTTGTGATAACGCCTCTTAGCTAAGATCTATTACAGCTTCTCTCTCTTCTTTTTCTTTACTTTTCATTATTTTTCTTTTTTTTAATTATTAAGAATTCTGCTAAGGAACGACCGATAATGCTGCTCTTAGTATGCCAAATGGCAAAATCAAAATGTGCAAAACATATTGCAAAATTAGGAGGAAAGCGAAATAGATATGTGGTTGTTTATACTTTTTATATAGGTGTACAAAAATCTGATAAGAAGAGGGCCAAAACTAATAAATGCAAATGGTCAATCAAGGTCTAAAAAATCTATTGAATTCTATAAATATCTAAAGATCATTGATTGGACCGACGCAGAAACGTTTTCATCAGTATATTGGAATTGAGATTTTTTGTCCAAAATCGAATATTTGGGACATAGTAGGAAAGCAAAAAAAAAAACGAAAACAAACCTACTAGGAAACGATAATTACTTCTTGACCACCAGTTTCAATGGCTGCTGATAGTATTGACCCTACCATTTCTGGTTTCAATTCTCGTGTGGCCTTTATTTCTCCTTGTGTTTGTATTTTTTGTCACTATTATTACTAAAACTAGCCTATCGTACAAGACACCATTTCTGTTACACCAATGATAAATAACGTGGAATTGATTACATTTTACCAAAAATACAGACATTTCCATGGACGAAATTACACGAACTCGAACATTCTACAAACTTTGACAAAACGAAGGAAACATCACTACAAAGTCATTTGTCTAATGTAGTTTCTCTTTTACCATTGGGTCCCTAGACTCTGACCCTAAGCTCGATTCTAATCTTTCATTTTCTTTTTGTCTTTTGACTTTTCACTTATGTCACAATATGCATTTGAATAAAATATCATGTTTCTCCTTGATTTTCTTATGAATCGATGAGTAACATATTTTTTTATAACATGTTAAGTATTTATACCAATTTTAAGTTTGCGACAACGATTAAAGAGGACACTAAGGTAATAGAAAAACCAAAAACTATTACTTAAAACTATGATTACAATAGAAATATGACAAGAAAACACAACCAAAAAATATCCAGCAGAGGCCCGAAAAAGAAGCACCGATTCCAAACCGCGAAGCTTGGACATTTACGTGATTGCCTCAGCTCCAAAAAGCTCGGGTCCTCATCGTCGTTGCCACGAGCAAACTAATAATCGTACATACATGATAAGTTTATGTAAAAATGATTACAATTTCTTTTACTAATAAAAATGTATAGTTGAATTTTCAAGATTATATGCTCCAGTTGATACTTCACAGAGTGGTTAAGACTTACAGCATAACAAAAGTACACTGTACACACAACAATAGCAGAATAGAAAAAAAAAATTACTATAACAATAAAAGACAAAAAAATTGATACCAGTTTTGATACCCAAATATTTTTTTTAATGATTAATAACAATCAAAATGGTATATACTCACCTACCATTCAAACCCATAATTTCATATAGAACATATGTGAAAATGTAATAAAAATTATTATAAGACTTTCGTTTGTTACGTTAAGAGAAAATCCATTTATGTTTTGAGGACAAGAAAAAAAAAATCCTATCTATGTTTTGTTTTTGGCCATCGAAAGGGAAATAAAATAAACGGGAGATAGAGCGAGTATACATATATAAGCTACTCGCAGCGGCTACCAGTCCATCATATTTCTCTGCTGCTGCTACTCTCTCTCTCTGCTTTCTTCTTCTTCTCTCAAGAGATAGATAGATAGTTTTGATTCAAAAAAATCTCCTTCATCTTCTTACTTCGATATCTTCCAAGTAGAATCCTAATCCCTCTTCCGCTTCAACAATCAGAATTTGGGTTTGGCGAAAGATGCTAACTTTGAAAGTGAGACTAATCGTTTGAGTCAAAAACATGCGAATTTTGTGTGATGCTTGTGAGAGCGCCGCCGCTATCGTCTTTTGCGCCGCCGACGAAGCTGCCCTTTGTTGCTCCTGCGACGAAAAAGTAACCAACTTTATCTGAAATAATCTCATTTTCTTATATTAACACTTTTATCTCAATCAATTCAAAAAAAGTTGAAAAGTTTGAGTCAATTTCTAGTTGCAGTGCTAAATTCACAGATTTTGAGGTTATTGTTACTCGAACATGGCCAAAAGGTGTTATCTGGTTGTGTTTTGATTGTTAAAGACACATTTGAGTGTTTTTAGCTTGTCAGAATTTGAACTTTGCATATAGCATCATTATCTCTGGTGATACACTGACTCACTCTATTGAAGCTGGAAGAGCTATGGGACTTTCTTTTTTTTTAATCTGCAATGGCTTTAATTGAGGAAGTGATCAGATATATGAAAGAAACATTTTTTGTTTGTGTGTTAGGTTCACAAGTGCAACAAGCTGGCTAGTCGGCATCTTCGTGTAGGCTTAGCTGATCCGAGTAATGCGCCAAGCTGTGACATATGCGAAAATGCACCCGGTATGAATATGATTCCTCTGTTTTTCTTTAGTGTATAGAAAGCGGAAATTTCGGTTTTTGACATGTTTTTTTGGTGAGCAGCATTCTTTTACTGTGAGATAGATGGTAGTTCCCTTTGTCTACAATGTGACATGGTAGTACATGTTGGTGGCAAGAGAACACACAGGCGGTTTCTGTTGCTGAGACAGAGAATTGAGGTTTGACTTTTGAAAAATCCAGGATCTTGAAGCATTTTTGATATGTGATATTGATTCTTCTTTACAATGTTGTTTCTTGTAGTTCCCAGGCGATAAGCCTAATCACGCCGACCAACTGGGATTACGGTGTCAAAAGGTTTCCTCTGGTCGCGGTCAAGAATCAAATGGAAATGGTGATCATGATCATAATATGATTGATCTGAACTCCAATCCTCAAAGAATACACGAGCCTGGATCAAATCACCAAGTACGTGTATCTTCTTATCTAGATGAACATAATCAATCTTGCCTGAAGGTGGTCTCTAAAACTGGTTTGTTTGTTTGTTTCAAGGAGGAGGGTATTGATGTAAATAACGCAAACAATCATGAGACTGAAAAGTGATCACAGATACACAAGATCAAGTAAGAACCTATGCAAGAACATTATCTTTTTAGGGTGTTTTGAAGAAATTAGCTTAGAGGAAACAAATAAGTTGTTTTCTGAATTTCTTCTCTTTTTCTTTCTTTTGTGAAATGATCAATTAGATAACAAAGCTTGGAAGAGATAGTGGATAACGATTCTTCAGAGTTATATATCTCAAATATATGATTTTCTCTCCTCTCACATTCAGATAAAGCTTTAATAGAAAGTAGTAAAATCTTGATAATTAAAGAAGGATGGCTTCTTGGCTCGGTTAAGTGATCACCATGAGCCATGGCTATTATCTTCTTCTTCTCCCTCTCTGCCTAGTTTTCTTAACTCTGAGCTCGCTCTGTTTTTGGATTTGTTGTGTTATAAAGATGACTAGTTTGAGAGTCATATGTTTGACCTTGAACTGCAATCTCTCATTACTCAAGTCTCAGTATGCTGTTTTGATGTTTCTCGCTTCATTTTTTCTTGGATATAAACTTAGGATTTTCACATCTTGTACATAATGCTTGGTCTTTTGTAATGTCATTTTCTTGTATGAGATGTTGTGATTTTTGAGCTCAGAGAGCATAATGTTATTATCATTATACTTGTTTCATAACTAGGAAAGCCAGAGCTTTTGAATTATTAGTAGTAACGAGTAGGTACAAAGATAGCAGAAAACGATCATATTAAACCATGAAGAAACAAAACTAGTCTCACATGATGACACATAACTGACTTCTATACCCCTTATAATGAAGAAGAGTATAATAATAACTCAAAACACCAGAATCAAGCTCAAGTTTTTGATTTTTGATCTATGGAACCATTATTACAAATAGCTTAATAGGTGTAGCCTTTTACAAACATACCCTCCTTGGCTTCCTCGGACTCGCCTTCTCCTGTGTATTTCCCGAGCTGAGCCAGCGAATTGGCTTTGGCTCTGGCCAAGAGAACGTCCTGAGCTGCCTTCACGTTCTCTTCCCTGCCTCCCCATGTCTTCAAGCAAGTGTTCTGCAAGGCACGTGCGTAGGAAAAGGACACGTGCCATGGGTTCGGTGCCTGGTTCATTGCGTTTAAGTTCAAGGTCGCCTCCAACTCTGACTGTCCACCAGACAAGAACTGTATACAATAGATAGACAATCAATTCACTGCTTCATATCTCAAGCATAGTTTCTTCAGCTGCAAAACTTTGACAGTAAAAGAGAAAACTTGCCATAATTCCAGGGACAGCGGGAGGGATTCTGTTGCGAAGGAGCTTGAGAGTGTAGGAAGCAACCTGCTCGGGAGTAGCCTTGTCTGTAGCCTCAGCTCCTGGAGTAACCATGCTCGGCTTAAGGAGAATACCTTCGAACATGACGTTGTTCTGAGCGAGGTAGAAGAAGACCTCAGCCCAAACCTTCTCTGCAACCTCGTATGTCCTGTCAATGCCGTGTTCTCCGTCCAACAGAATCTCTGGCTCCACAATCGGCACCAGACCGCTGTCCTGTAGAACACAAACTCAAACTGGATAAGTATATACAAAACAACAATGTAGAACATAATAGCAGTGCGGTTTTAAATAGATAGTACCTGAGAAATAGCGGCGTAGCGAGCAAGTCCCCAAGCTGCTTCTTTAACAGCCAAAGCAGAGGGTCCATTTGGAATGCTCACAACAGTACGCCTAATCATACATACATGAGCTCAATCAAAACACCATTTTGACATACATATGGTAATGACTGTGCAATCAGAGTTTGATTTAACGTACCATTTGGCGAAACGAGCACCTTGTTCGTAGTAAGCAGCGGTACGAGAGGCTAAACCGTCAAGTCCTTGGCACCATGACTCGTCGTTAGACCCAACAAGTGGCACCAAACCCTGTTTTTTATACAACAAACTCATTACCCACTTTCATAGATTCCATTTAAACTGAACCAAACCCGAACCAAATCTTGACCGGGCATAAAATTTCGGTTCTACTTCGAATCCATCTCCCAAATCTTGAAACCCGACAAACGGAACCAAACCTAAAGTTGGGACATTTTCAATCGAACCAAACTAAACCAGATTTTGTTTGTAAACCGATCAAACGAATGAACCAAACCGAAACAAACTAAAATTCCAACTCGGTAAGTATATACCGGACCTAAACCGAAATGCATAAACCTAGCTAGGTTTACTAGAGTGTACCTTGTCGACTTTGATGCCAGGGACGATGTTCTGCTCAACGAGAACATCAACCATTTTCTTGCCGTCGGTGGTGGATTGGTACAAAGTCTCCTCGAACAGGATAGCTCCGGAAATGTACTGTCCTAGTCCTGGAGCCGACACAAGCAACGTCCGGTAAGCTTGACGGTTAGCCTCCGTGTTCTCTAGCCCAATTGACGCCAAACGCTTTCCACAAGTCGCGTTTGACTCATCCATCGCCATAATTCCGTGTCCCGGAGACGCGATTGTTTTCTGCAAACCATATCTTAATCATTAACCATTGAAATGAAAATGAAACGAATCAATATAATTTGATTATATAATTAATATTACAGCTGTTTTGACGAGTTCATCGGCGTAAGCAGAAGCGGCACGGACGGTGAGAGAGGAAGGTGCCACGTGGCTGCGAATAGCTGAGACAGAGGAAGGTTGACGGAGGAGGAGACTCTGACCTTTCACCCAATCAGATTTCACCGGTGAGGCTTTGAGCATAGTGGCTGCAGTGCTTGACGCCATTGTTGCTACTTGCTAGTATCTTCGAGTGAGAGCTTAAAACGCTTGTAACGCACTACTATAAACAATCGTGCGTTTGAGTGGTTTAATATATAGAGACTCAAGTGACATACAAAGATTGGATAATTGAGGTTCTCGTGAGCCGGCTGACGAGGATTTGCCACGTGGATGATAATATTTCTGAATGAAAAGACTTCAACCATATGAATAAAAACCACAGAGTTATCAAATTAAACCATTTTTTTAGTTAGATAATCCGAGCATAATTAGCTCATACTAAATCCGAAATTTTCAAATTAAATTATTTCTTTTCTATAAAAGAATCGAATATTTTTGCCATTTAACACATCGGTCACCACATATTCGTTCACTTGAAATCGAGAAATTCCAACAAAATTCGTCGAAAGAAATATAAATAACAAAAATTACAATAAGAGATTAGTTTGAGAGGTGGTGATGAGTTCTCACAGGTTTTTAAGGCTGAGGTTATGTTTGGAGATTATCATCAGATATTGTGAAGTCTACATCAACGGTCCGTGGCTTGCCATGTCAACTCCTACGTTACTTTTCGCGCCACGTGGCGAAGATTGGGAGCAGCTTACTAGTTGACTCTTTAACCATTGTGTTTGGACTGCACTAGTGACTTTAAAAAAATATTAACTTAAACTTAAGGAATTTTATTTAAAATATTATTTTTAGTTTTTATCATCAAATTTTTTTGTTTTGAAATGTTTCATCTCTTTATTATAATTTATTATGTATTTTTTCACTTACAAATTTTTTACTTTCATAAAACATGCTTCAAAAGATAGTGTTTTTTTTCTTGACCAAAAAAACAAAATATAGTGTTTTAATTCATAAATTTTTTTTTTTTAAAAAAAACCTCTTTTAAATCTGATTTTTGAGGGGTTTTACTTTCTTGATTTTCCAAAAACTTGTAATCCAGATTCAAAATTTCAATTGATTTCTTTATATCGCTAATCTAAAAAAAAACCTCTTTTGTCTTAGGGTTTCTAATTTTAGTTTGTAGTTCTCTTCAAAAATTACACCTTTGTTGTTACAATCAGGGTTTCTATTCTTCTTTTTGTTGTTTGTTTGAAATCAGAAACCCTCTTTTAAATATGCGATTTTTTCTTTCACGTTTGTGAAAGTTTATGGTTCTTGCTTGGGATTCTAATATGGATCATGTTTTAAAGATTATGTATTTCGTTTATCTGGATTAGAAACCCTATTATCGATTTTCTGATTTCATTTTAAACGAACGAATTTCAAGAAAGTTTTATGTTTTCTTCAAACCCAAAAGAAAGGGACTACACATTATATGATTGTGTTTGTCCGGTTTCTAACTTGGGAAAATTGTCCCGATATTGCCTAAGTAGCCAAACTGTGATTAAACATTGTAAGTCTTGCAAAATTATGTTCAAATATCGGATAATTGAATTGTAAGTCATGCAAGCTGTGATTAAACACCGTAAGTCTTGTCAAATTATGTTCACATATCGGATAATTGAATTGTAAGTCAGGCAAGCTGTGATTAAACACCGTAAGTCTGGTCAAATTATGTTCACATATCGGATAATTGAATTGTAAGACTGGCAAGCTGTGATTAAACACTGTAAGTCTTGTCTAATTATGCTCAAAGATTGGATAATTGAATCGTAAGACAAGCAAGCTGTGATTAAACACTGTAAGTCTTGTCACAAGTTTACAAGTCAAGACAAGTCACAAGTGAAGACAAGTTGATACATCAAATATTTTTTAGCTTTATAGCTTAGAGCTCAGTATTTCAACTTTGAAGTATTTATTATATACTAGATTTTGATGAATCTAACTTATAGGACTAATGTGGTGATACCAACATTGCCCTCATTCTGAAACTAGCCTTTCAAGCATCCTTATATGCCATATGGAAAGAACGCAATTCTCGGATTCACACCTCCTCCTCAAGGCCTCCTTCAGCTCTCATCTCAAACATAAAAAATACCATCAAATGTAGGCTTGATCCCCTCTCGTGTCTTCAGAGATCTCCACCGTCTCAGAACTCGCTTTTGGTTACTTGGTTTCAGTTTTTTCAAAACTAATTGTTTGCATCCTTGTTGTTACTTGCATTGTTGTTGTTGCAGGTTTGGTTCTGTGCAATTTGTGCTGAGGCGACGTGTTGTAACTTTTATGTTCTTCTGTTGGGCCTTGTGGCCGTCATGGGCCTTTGTGCTTTGTAATGTGTTGTTTTTTTAATTGGAAATGTTTTAAAAAAAAAAAACTTATAGGACTAATAACATGTTTTTGATGACATCACTTTTTCTATGAATTTAATTTGGACTAATTATGTTGTAATATAACAAAAAAGTCTGAACTGAAAGCAAATAGATGGGATGGGACTGAACTTTCTTCCAAGAGATGGGACTACTTTTCTCATATCCTTAGAAATGGGACAAAGATTATAGCATAATTGTTTCTCAGATTTAATAATCAAACCTATTATATTTATTTTAATTTTAATATATGAATTTTAAAATATAAATTATAAATAGAAAATAAATTTTAATTTTGAATTAAAAAATATTATATCAAGATTATAAAAAATTTAATGCATAAAAATGAAACAGAAACATATTGTGTTTAAAAAAAATTATTTAGTGATTGATTTGAATTATTATGACATATTCTTTAATTTATTTTTATATTATTATGATGAATTACTAATTTTATTTACTTATATTAAATAATTTATGTATTTAAAAAATAATTTGATTGTGTTTTCATCTAAAAATATACGTTAAGATATGAAAAGATATTGTACTTAATTGTATTTGCTTGCATGAATCTATACTAAATAAATGTTGAATCTACACAATCAATTACGATTAGCCATCTCATTGGTTAAAAAAAACAACGTACTGTTTCTAGATCATCGGCAAAGGCGGAGTAGCTCTTTCTTAATTTGAAATGGTCTGGTTGAAAACCTTGCTTCATGATTTGCATGTTTCTTCTCCAATTCTAATTCTTTTTTCGGACAGTACAATTGCTATATACATTGCTACTAATCCGGTTTTCCATGAGAGAACCAAACATATTAAATTGGATCGTATGACAATCCGTGAAAGGTTGGATAAAGTGCTTCTAGAGATGTTTCATGTGCAGACTAATGACCAAGTAGCAGATTTTACTACATTGTTCTCTCATCAATTTGAACATCTTAAATCCAAGATGCGTCTTCTTAATATCTTTGGAAGCTCATCTTGAGGAAGACTGTTGGAATATAAGGCTTGGTTTTGTATGGTTTAGCTCTGGTTTAACTTAACCATGTATAGCTTGTATAGTATATATATTTTGTACAGCTAACATTTACAGAGTTAATGAGAAGTCGAAATTGAAAATTCGTAACAAATTTTTTTTCATCATTTTCTCTTTTTCGTAATAGTTCTTTATAACCAACAAAACCCTTAGTTTCTTTTTGGTCGAAAGTGAAATAGTAATACAAACCGTTGCTTGCAAATTGCGTATAGTTTTCAGAAACTTACAAAGTAGGGTCATACGTGACTCGATGCATATTAAGATCTTCTTGTCCTTTGTCTCCAACATGAAAACAACACTTGGACGACTTGTTTTACAGTCACACATTGCCTTATCAATTTTTCCCCTTTTTATTTTTATTTTATTTTGGTCCTCTTTGCTTCTGGGCCGTCAAATTTTGGTTTTCTGTTAGTTGTGTTGTGGCAAATCACTAACCGGTTTAGGTGTACCAATCATTAAACCGAATACTTACATGAGACGAGTCAGTCACAGTGCGTTGTTGTGTTGTTGTCTATCAGTGAATCAACGCCGGGAAGCTTTATCAGGGGGTTGGTGCGTTGAATTTGTGGATCAAGAAAGTATGCAACTTCAATGCAAAACCCTAACTTTTACAGTTTCTTCGATTCCTTCTAACCCAAAGCTACCACCATTACCATCTTCAATCACTTTACGGTCATGGAATCCTCCATTCCCGAGTTTCAGGAGCTCCTCTGTTTCCGGAGCAAAGCTGAACAGGTTTTTAAGAAACTGTGCAAGTCCGAATCAGGAGCTTGTTGTTGATGGAGAAACCGGAAATGGGTCGATTTCGGAGGAAGTGAATGAGCTCCAAGGAGATACAAATGGTTCGATTTCGCCGGTTGAAGTGGAAGTAGAAGAAGTGAAAGTAGATGACTTGGCGAATCAGAGTATTTGGGGACAGATGAAAGAGATCGTCATGTTTACCGGACCTGCTGCGGGATTGTGGCTCTGTGGGCCGTTGATGAGTCTTATTGATACGGCGGTGATTGGTCAAGGAAGCTCACTCGAACTCGCTGCTTTAGGTATGACTATACAAATACACCATAGAATCTGAGTTTGCTTGACTTAGTTTCATAAATTGTTGGTTCTTTCTTTCATAAATCTGAGTTTGCTCTTTGATCTATTTTCTGATAAGTTCAAGTCAAGAATGATTGATAGACATTGTTTTACCAGCTTAATTACACAAAAAGAACAAAACTTTTTAGCCTTTTTTTTCTGTTCAGGTTTTGCTTGTCTCTGTCAAACCAGTGAGGAGCTTTTCTCTTTTTTTCATCATCTGTGTGTAACCTTGAAATCTAAAGTGGGTCTGATGTGCTGGAATAGCACTAACCTTTCTTTAGTGACGTATTTAATGGTGCTTCATTTTTGTGTGTGGAACTTACCAAAATTTGGTGCTTTAGCATTCTCTTGATTTTTGTCTGATTAGCGTATGATTTACTAAAGGAAAATAGGATCTATAGGTTCCATAAAGCAAGGTAGCCCTCTTGTTTGATTGTCAAATTGGAAACAAAGATGGATGTAAGTTTCAGGTTTCAGTCATGGCTTTGATTACTCTCGATTCCTGAACATTTGATTTTGATTTCATATTATACCTTGAATGCGTTACAGTGGGAACATCCGATTGTTTTTTCCCTTTGCTATGTTCCACGCTAGGGTTACTGGTTCAAGTAACAGTGATTTAAATTTTACTATGGATGAAACAGGTCCCGCAACCGTAATCTGTGATTATTTGTGTTATACGTTCATGTTCCTCTCAGTTGCGACTTCAAATCTTGTTGCTACCTCTCTTGCTCGGCGGGTCAGTTTATCATTCTTGGACTATGAGTCCTATGATACCTTGTAGTCAGTAATGATAAGTAATATCAAGGATTTTCCAAGTGCAAATTATTAGCAACCTCCTAATAGAACAGTTATTGTGCAGGATAAAGATGAAGTACAACATCAGATATCAATCTTGCTTTTCATTGGGTTGGCTTGTGGAGTCACGATGATGGTGTTTACAAGACTGTTCGGTTCATGGGCACTAACTGGTAAAAAGGGATCTTTGTATCTGAACAGTAACAAGTTTGTGACTAGTAGTAAATCAACAGACTGTTGACTGTTCAGTCTTCTTTCAGCTTTTACAGGGGTAAAGAATGCCGACATTGTCCCGGCGGCCAATACATATGTTCAGGTTCATACTACATCTTGGTGAACTCTACTGTGCTGTAAATTTTCAGATTATAATGTTTTGTGGGCTTTGGTAAGCGTGTTGGCTCTATGCGTATAGATAAATAGTATGGCTGTTCCATGTGAACCTGTCTGATGATGTACATCTTATACTAAGTTCGATCCATGCTAATAGCCTTGAATATTGTTGATTCTTGGCGGAACTTTAGTTTAAGTCACTTTCCTCTCTCTTCCTTTGTTTTGACGATTTTTGTTTCCATTCTCAGATTCGTGGTTTAGCATGGCCAGCTGTTCTCATTGGATGGGTTGCTCAAAGTGCAAGGTCCCTTTATACCCCATTTTCTTCTGCGTGTTGCATTTTTTGCTCTTCCAAAGTTTCAGCATTGTCATACAATTCTGGTTGTGGGATCTTATTAGCACTGTGACGATTATATTCCTCTGTTATTGTGGTGTAACATCCTCTTTTTTTATTTGTTTGTCTTAGTCTTGGTATGAAAGACTCATGGGGACCTCTAAAGGCATTGGCTGTTGCTAGTGCAATAAACGGTGTTGGTGATGTGGTCTTATGCACCTTTCTAGGATATGGTATAGCAGGTGCAGCTTGGGCAACGATGGTGTCACAAGTAAGCTGAAATCTTCTTGTCTGGTTCAATATCATATCAGCCAGTTAACAATATTGTCCTAATGCGAGATGATTTAGGTTGTTGCAGCTTATATGATGATGGACGCATTGAACAAGAAAGGATACAGCGCATTCTCATTCTGTGTTCCCTCTCCAAGTGAACTTTTGACGATTTTTGGACTCGCTGCCCCTGTCTTTATAACTATGATGTCAAAGGTTAATACTTCACTTGTATCTTATAAAGACATTCAATTGCACAAAATCGTCTCTTCCTTATCTGAGATTTGTGTCTTGTCCCCTTAGGTTTTGTTCTATACTCTCCTTGTGTACTTTGCTACATCAATGGGTACAAGTATCATAGCTGCTCATCAGGTGATATGTCCTTTTATATCTCACCACCAACCATGTTTCTGATTTGAGTTTTCTCTATAACTTCTTTGGCTCGTTTGGTCTCTAGGTTATGCTTCAGACTTATACCATGAGTACGGTTTGGGGGGAGCCTCTCTCTCAAACTGCACAGTCCTTTATGCCTGAGTTATTATTCGGAATCAACCGTAATTTGCCTAAAGTAGGTGAAAAGTTGTCTGTTGAAACCATTTGTACATCAGTTTTTTTTTAGTTTACTGTTGCCTAAAGAAACTCTGCCTGTACTGTTGTTTGTAGGCTAGAATGCTTCTGAAGTCACTTGTTATCATCGGCGCTACGCTAGGAATAGTGGTCGGAACCATTGGCACAGCAGTTCCATGGCTGTTCCCTGGCATCTTCACACAGGACAAGGTTGTCATATCCGAGGTATTTCTTTTTCCTTTTTCTTTACAGTTTGTCTCATATGTTCCCGACGACAAAATTTCAAGAATGACGACTTTCTAAACAGTTTTTCATTCCATATTCTAACAGATGCACAAGGTCATAATACCGTATTTTCTTGCTTTATCCATCACTCCGAGTACCCACAGTCTTGAAGGCACCTTACTGGTAAATCATACTTTAGTGTCTCAGTACATTTCTGGGTCTAGTTTAGAATTTCCTTGTAAAGATCCGATTACCTGCAAATCTAATCTAAAAGAATTAAAACTGTTGTATTTGAAATGAAGGCTGGAAGAGATCTTAGATATATCAGCTTGTCAATGACTGGATGCTTAGCGGTTGCTGGGCTTCTACTTATGGTACTCACTCCTCTTATCATCAATCTCTATCACTCTCCTGAATTCCAAAATAGATTTCTGTAACTCTCTCCTTTTTGCATTGTTCACAATTGACTAATAATAGCTTCTGAGCAATGGAGGATTTGGTTTGAGAGGCTGCTGGTACGCTCTCGTGGGATTCCAATGGGTAAAAATCGCTACGCCTTTACTAAGCCACATAACCCAAACTTCACATATCTTTTGCTCTTCGTAAATCTAACATGAATTATTTCAGGCTCGGTTTTCTCTATCTCTTTTCCGCCTTCTATCGCGGGACGGTGTACTGTACTCGGAAGATACAAGCCGATACACTGAGAAAGTGAAAGCTGCGTAACTCAGTAAGTCACCATATACCTCACAAGAAAAAGTATAAGGAATAGAGAACAACTTCATTCAGTTGTAGATCAATGTGTTACTCTGTTTCAGATTGTATTCTTTAAGAACAGGAAAATGTATTCGACTGAAATAGAAAAGTCTTGGCATAAATAGGCCCTGCTTCGACTCCTGCGATTCCTCTGTATATAAAAGATGATACAAACAAATTGCTACTCTTCATTCATTTTTTTCTTCTCGTCGGTTTTCAATTTGGTGGGACTAGGACGATAGAGTATCACAGTCCGCGCAATTTGCCCAACTGATACCGAACCAGTGGCTTCCTCCAAATGTAGAATCATGTCCTCTAGCTCTCCAGGGCATGTTCTGTGTATTTTCACCTATTCATTGAATCAATCAAAGCTAAAGTCAAGTCTCAGGCATGGACTTGAATCCATTTCATTGACCAAACAGCAACTCTTCCAATGTAACCACAATTCTACTACCCAACACAAATCTTGTAACAATAAAGTTGATACCTTTAAGAGCTCGTTCTTCTCCAGCGTCTCTATGAAGGACAAGACAACAGAATCCGTAACGCCAGACTTGCCTACGAGTTGAGATTTCAGTTTGTCACCCAAACTATGTGCGTAAGAAGCGAGCTTTTTCTTCTCCTTCGCAGACAACTCCAACAAAGTCGAGCTTCTTCCATTTTCTCTCATTGTAAGATCCGACCCATCTTCTTGTTCGTCGTCAAGAGAGGCTAAGGAGACGTAATCTTCGTCTTGTTCTGATTCACCAACAGAAGAGAAGGATTTAGCTACGAGGAGAGGAGAGATTGAGATACAAGGACGTGGAAGAGGTAAAGAAGAGGAGATCCACCGGAAGCGACGCTCGTCATGGTGATTGGATTTACGGGCTAATGCATACACGGAAAACGGTCTGAGGAACAGACAAACAGGAGATGTTGGTTTGGGATGTCGGAGAAGATGGTGGATCAAGTAAGTCAAAGCCGATGATTTTACAGTCGCCATTGCAGCCATCTCCGGTCCCCTCTGAGATTTATGGGGTTTTATAATATCATTTTTGATTAATAATCATTTTTGCTTGAAATGAACAAAAGGGTGTTTGGTCTAGTGGTATGATTCTCGCTTCGGGTGCGAGAGGTCCCGAGTTCGATTCTCGGAACACCCCTTGGCTTCAATTTTGTAAGAAATGATTCACAATTCACGTCAATTTTGTTTTAGACGACACACATTTTGTCACACAAGATCAAAATTACAGGAAATGTTGTTCCATAACAACACAGCTTCAGTACATACATACAACAATACAATCATTTGTTCACATGCTCTGTTTCACAAACAGCTCTTCTGTTTTGCACCCTTCAACGCAAGAAGAGAAGCTCCATAGGACGCTTCCGTGTGGACAGCCTTTTTCACAGGCAAACCTAGAACGCGCTGCCTTATCTTTATCCACTTGTCATTCTTGGCTCCACCTCCTGCTGTCAACACTTCCTCCGCCTCCGTTGCTCCCATCTCTTTCAGCAACTTGTAGCCTTTCCCCTGTTAGTGTTACATCCAACACCATGATGAGTCACTGTTAGTTACTATATCAAGCCTGAAACTTGTGGTTCTTGAAGAGCTTGGACTTAGAAATATGAAGTTGATGCAAAGTAAGAGACTTGCTCAGATGTGGAGTTGAAGATAGAACCAATCATTATATTCTGAGTGTTTCCATGAGTCATGTGAAACTCAGTAGCAACCACTTAGATATGGTTGTTCGTACCTCAATACGTGCGATTGATTCCAAGATACCATGCAAGTATTCAACGTCGCTTTCTGGGCGTGGAAGTAATCTGCAGTATGTAAACATGCTTTTCAAGTGAATCTACACAGATACTTTGAGGGAAGTTCGATATAAAGCTTTCTTGTTACATATACAGAGACACTTGTGAGAACATGAGAAAGGCAGACAAACCTGGGAGCCAAGTTAGGATCAGCTATGGGAAATCTTTCACCGCTAGTTAGCAGAGGATAGTAATCTAGAGGAGATTCGACCATAGGATTGATTTCTTGGCTCAGTCTCTCTAATTGTTCGTCACTAAAGAGCTGTCTGAGAATGGCTCCACCAGTATTGGAAGCTCCTCCGACCAACCATTTGTCATCCAGGCGGTGACTGTAGACTCCATACCTCGCATCATCAACTCTTTTGGTGCTGAGAAGTTTGATGGCTAAGGTCGAACCCAATGAAGTCACCTTTGGAAAAGAATTATACAAGGAATCATTTCATGGTAAAAACATCAATATGTGGCACACACTACAGTTATCACATAGAAAGGTTAAGTGAAGAGCTGAGAGATAAGTAACATTCAGAAAGTATTGAAGAGTGCTCACTGCTTTCCCAGGTTCAGTCGCGCGTGCTGCAAGAAATGCAGCTATGCTATCAGTAGTACCGGTGCAGACAATGCAATCATCCGGAAATCCTGGTCAAGCAAAAGAGAAAATTGAAACAATATGTTTCTTTTCATTGATATTTGGTTACATGTAAGAAAAATTAACTTACCGAATTGGCTTCTAATGCTTTCTTTCAGATTGCCTATTGATGTTCCAGGAGCTTGCACCACAGGTAATAACTGAGAATAAGGCTGACTTAGCAACCATGATGGATATGATTCACTTTCAGGATCATAGCCCACCTGCATGGAATTCCAAAATAGAAAAACACTTCTGAGCTACATTTTCTTGTTAGAATTTGATATTTTTGGAGCCGATTAATCGACACCTAGCAGAGAATACATAACAGTCTTACCTTCAAGGCGTTATTGTAATCTGACACTCCGAGTCTACCGTGAAGTAACCACAACAACCAATCTGCCTGGTGCAACAATACCGCTGATTCTCTGTTTGGCACCTCAGTGTTCCACCATGAGACAAGTTTGCACAAGGTAGAGGAACCAGAGCAGACTGTGTGGTTTTCTGGCGCTATAGACTTGACCTCTGGCAGGGCATCAGGGCAGCTCTGGTTGTAGAGAAAAGGTTGACACAGAACTTCTCCACTCTCACTGCAACACATAATTGAATTAAGCAAAATGGCATTTAAACAACAATTTAATGGTTTCAAATAGCTATGATGAGTGCTGATGATTGAAAATCAAATCAAATCCTCTAATGTGGATGGAATACAGAAACAGAAAAGAGAAGGGATCACGGTGAATCACATGCCTGTTTAAGATGAGAGTTGTCGCAGAAGTTCCATCAAGCGAAATGGATGAGACGAGGGAGCGAACAGTAATGGGAATGTCCTCTAGCAATGAAAAAAGAGTTGCTTTCCATGAGCTCACCCAATCCATGCTTTCTTCTTTCTATCTAGATAACAAAACAAATGTCTCAGTCCATAGAAGCAGCTCAGAATTTGTAACCTGTAATTAGCTGGCTTTGACAAAGACTATAAATTTGAGTACAAATGCGAAGTTTTTTTTTACCATGAAAGGAGGATATTCTCTTTTGCCTTCTGCTTTAACCTCTCCTTGCTCATCAATAACTGTAAATCGAGCTCCAGAAGTACCAAAATCCATACCAAGGTAAAGTTTTTCAAAGTTGGTTCCTTTATTGTCACTCATAACTCTGAAATCAGAGCTCTTTCCTAGATTAGAGTAAAAACGAGTTCTGGTCCTTGAACTAGAACACCCTGAGATTAACATTATATGATGAATGATTCAGCTCTTAAAAAAACGCCATTAAATAGAAGAATCATCATGTTTTACCAGATTGTTTTGGAGATTGAAAGAGTTCAAACGAAGAGATTTGAAATTGACGAAGAATCAGCATCTCTCTCTTTGCCTCCTGGGTTTCTTCTTCTGAGGCTCTGCTTTCTTCCAAACGACTCCATAGATAAGGGAGCTTGCAAATTCGTGACCGTTGGATTTGAAAATTGATGATTTTTTTCTCTGAAAAGTAATTTACCATTTTAGCCTTACTTTTTATTTATTTATTTAAAAAAACATTATAATCTTCCACTCAGTTGGGCTGCACGTTCTCTTGTCATCCAACGGTTCAGATTATGCGTGCGGTTTTCGTTTGGCATCTTCAAAAATGGACCCTTGTAGGCCCACTTTAGCATCGGCCCACGACTAATAATGATGACTATCCTCTCTCTTGCACCATATTTTGTTCCACACAATTTTTTTTTTTTTTCCCTCGATTTTCATATTAAAGTTTACATGTAAATGCTATACCAAGTTTTTTTTTTTGTGTGTCCCATATATAAAAAGAGATTGATATCCATATTCATTAAATCGAAATGTCTAAAATCTGACTTTGGATACTGGGAAAAACTATGAGGCAAAGGTTTTTTTTTTTTTTTTTGCTGAAAAACACATTGTGAAAAGCATGCACGTGTAAGCCAGATGTGCGGTGGAGCTCAAGAAGTGGGAGATATGACAACTACTTTGCCACTGGTACTTAGCTTCGAGAAGCAATCACACTCTATACTTTAAATTACTTGGTATATTAAGGACCCACATATTCAATAGATGTGTAACATTAAGTTTTTTATAATATGGAAACAAGATATACGTGCTCGTAATAACTCTATTTTGTTGGATTAGTTTTTTTTTTTTTTTTTAATATTGATGTATATGTAATAGTTTTGTCTTTTGCAATTTGCAGGATTTAATAGTACATCATCTATTTAAGGATAATGTTTCCTTTCATATAGCCATTATTAAATTCAGTACTGAATCTATTCGACATGTTGCAGTTAAGTAGAATCTAACGTAATGTCGCAAATAATGTTCCATTGGAATTGACGTAGAGACTATTCGGAAAAAGATCCATAACTAGCACTCAAACTTTTCAACAATTTGAGTGACCTTAAGAGAAATTTACATTTATATCTGTTTATTTATTTATAGATAGATTTGGTGTTGGATACATACAATTCCTAGTTTAAATTTTGAAAAAATTCGGTTAAAATTGAATATATTTCACTAGGATTTCATTTTGTTTGGTTTAGTGTGAACCGGAACAAAAATATTAAACGAATTAAAGGGCAAAAAGGACAAATCCTCCATTTTTACTAACCCATCGTTCTTCCCGCTCGTTCGGTTCATTCAATTTTTTCGAAAACCTTTTGATCCGGTTCACGGTTATTTTATTTTAATCCTCAACCACGTTCGAATCTCAAAAATTAGTCACAGTAAAAACAATTTATTAATCAAAAATTCAAAATCTGAAAAAAAAAAGACGCTTTCACCAAAAAAAATATCTCCAATCTCTCTCTCTCTTCACCACCGTCGCGTGAAGAAGACGAAACAATCGCTCTCTCTCTTTGTGGTCTCACTATCTTTTTCTCACCTTCGCGTAGCTTAACCATGGAAAAGTAGAGAAGAGAAAAGAGAGAGAGAGAAGAAGAAGAAGATGAAGAGCATATTATTGCTTTTTCTGTCCCCAGCCATGTGAGTTTCCACTCACACATTCTCTGTATCTTCACATTTGGAGTTTTTTTTTTCGCTTGATTCTTTCTATATTCGTCTTCAGATTTTCACCGATTTCGTAACCGACTCACCGAGTTTGAACGAGTTGATTCCTTCTCGGAGTAGTGGATGGCTTCATCGTCATCTAGAACTAGGAGTCGTTCTCCATTTTCGCACCGTAGACCTCCGAGTCCTTACTCTTCGGCTTCGTCTACTTCTTCGTCTCTTATAAACAATCGTTTATTACCTCGCTCTTCTTCCACACCTACTTCTACCGTTTACAATTCCGGCGGGTCCCGATCTATGTCGATTACTCGCACCATTTCCGATTCCGGTCCAATCGGCTGCTCCGGAACTTATGGAGCCCAATCGTCCGTCACTTACCCATCGGAGGGGCTAATTGGCGAGTCTGTGCCGACTATCACCTCTGAGCGAGATAGCATCTCCGTCACCGTTCGATTTCGTCCGATGAGGTACGGTAGATCTGGAAGCGGAATAGCAGATCTATTTGATACAATTTCACGATTATTCTGCTTTACAAGTTTGGGATTGATGAAATGTGAATTGATACTTAAGTCAATTTTCAAAATCTCCGGAATTACTTGTTTGATTGCAGTGAGAGGGAGTATCAAAGAGGAGACGAGATTGTTTGGTATCCTGACGCAGATAAGATGGTCAGGAATGAATACAATCCCCTCACAGCTTACGCATTTGGTATTGAGATGAATTTATTGCCGTAGATTATTTCAATTTACTCTTCATTGATTATAGTTTTGGTCACATTGGTTTGTTCAATGAATGTTCTTCCGAATTTGTTGATGCCAGATAAAGTTTTTGGACCACAATCAACAACTCCAGAAGTATATGACGTAGCTGCTAAACCTGTAGTCAAGGCTGCTATGGAAGGTGTTAACGGTAAGGAGTATAGCTGCATTATCAATTAAACTAGAGTTATGTTTGTCATTGAAATACTTTTAGCCAACTCATTTGCTAGTAGGATTGCTTGCAGGGAAGTATTCTGACTGTGTTTGCAATTTGACAGGAACCGTTTTTGCTTATGGTGTTACAAGCAGTGGAAAGACACATACAATGCATGTAAGACACATACAAGACAAAGACAAACACCAAAATGATCTCTTCTTAAATCATCATATGCATCTTGGATTTCCATCATAAATCAGAGGTTCAGCTATATATGTAGTCAATAATTGACCATTGCTTCATTTGCAATATGCATAGGGTGATCACAATTTTCCTGGAATCATACCATTAGCAATAAAAGACGTGTTCAGTATCATCCAGGAAGTAAGTGATCTTCTTCAACTTAAAAGCTATGTGGTCCTTCTCTGATTAACTGTTCTTCATGCACCTATTACAGTGTCATATCTGCTAATTTCTTACATCATTCTAAATATCAGACCACCGGAAGAGAGTTCCTGCTCCGTGTTTCATATCTTGAAATATACAATGAGGTATGCAAAGTTATAAACCATGAAGTTAAGGCTTTTACCCTCATATAGTCATATATAGTTTCCTCTCCCCTCACGTTGAAGTATATATGATCTATCTCCTTGTTTTGGTAACATGTGTTATAACTCATCATGTCTTATGTTTTAGATGAGTGTGCTTAATTGCTTATATGTCCATTTGTCTGCAAGTTTACTTACTTTTGTCCTTGTATCAGGTGATAAATGACTTACTGGATCCAACAGGGCAAAATTTACGAATTAGAGAGGATTCCCAGGTTTCCACCTGTTCACTTTCTCTCACACATGATTGCAAATGTATATCAAACAAGCATGATTTCATTATTTTCTCTTTAACAAGAACAAAGAAGATGAACACACTTGTTGAATTGTCCATGTTGCATCCATTCTGTTTTCTTATGGATTACCTTGGTTTGATCTAGAGTGGATATTGTTTATAGGGCACTTACGTTGAGGGTATCAAGGAAGAAGTCGTTTTGTCTCCAGGCCATGCGCTATCTTTCATTGCAGCTGGGGAAGGTAATTGGAAAGATTACTGCTGAGACATGTTTTCAAATTATTCCTATACGCGTTTCCTTATTACTGTTTTGATCTTCAACGGCAGAACATCGTCATGTTGGTTCAAATAATTTCAACCTGATGAGCAGCAGAAGTCACACAATATTTACACTGGTACAACTTCAATCTTGTGAACATCCCAATTTTTTTTACCCCTGATCCTTTCAATGTCCTTCAGATACTTTTTCTCTTACAAATTTCCTTGCTATGCATTTTTAAGTTTCAATTTCAAGGATTCTTTGTTTGCAGATGATTGAAAGTAGTGCTCATGGAGACCAATATGATGGAGTTATTTTTTCTCAGCTAGTAAGGGCTTCTTTCTTCTTTCATTGCATTAAATCTCTCGTCTTATAGACAGCTCACTCACAGTGTCTCTTTTTTTGCTCAGAATTTGATTGACTTAGCTGGATCTGAGAGTTCCAAAACTGAGACAACGGGACTGAGGAGGAAAGAGGGTGCATACATCAACAAGAGTCTTCTGACTCTTGGAACTGTAGGTGTCTATTATTATGTTTTTTTTTTTTTTTAATTTGTCAGATTCCTTTTCAATTAAAATATGATGTAAATCAGAATTTCTGTGATAGTATAATGCAAAACTGCCTTAGAAGAACAACCTGGTTTGCTAGTGTATCTTGATGATCAATGCCTTTATTTTCTGATAAGCCTGTTCCCTTTTTGTGTCCTTATGTCCAGGATAACATCTCTAGTCACCTAACCTTTGAAATGGATCTAGGGATGTTTTGATTATAAACTATCTCTTATGGTTTCAATATGTAGGTGATTGGAAAACTGACTGAGGGTAAGACAACTCATGTCCCATTTCGGGACTCTAAGCTAACTCGTCTTCTGCAATCTTCACTGAGTGGGCATGGGCATGTATCGGTACGACTCTTCTGTATCTGGTGAATATTTCCCATTTTACTGTCATGGTTTTCACACGGTTGATTGTCTCAGATTGTTTAATTGTGATGTCTCCAGTAGCATATTTAAGGCAATGTTGGTTTGTTTATATTTATTGGCTATCTATTATATGCTGCGTGCTGATTTTAATTATAAAATCGCAATGAGCAGAAGCTAATTAAAATTTTATTTCCTTCAACTTTTGTAGCTCATATGTACAGTTACTCCTGCGTCAAGCAGTACAGAGGAAACTCATAATACTTTGAAGTTTGCCAGCAGGGCAAAGAGAATTGAAATTAATGCCTCGCGCAATAAGGTTATTTCTTAGGCTTTTGGTCATGATGGCTCCTATCTATGGCATAACTTAAACCTCGGCTAAAACATACATTGTTTCATATCTTGAAACAGATCATAGATGAGAAGTCACTGATTAAGAAATATCAGAAAGAAATATCGACCCTCAGAGACGAACTTGATCAGCTAAGAAGGGGTGTGCTTGTTGGTGTCAGTCACGAAGAGTTATTGAGCCTAAAGCAACAGGTTCTACCCTCCCTGACTTGTTATTTCATGAATGTTTGAGTTTCTTCCTATTTGGTGAATAGATAGAACTATCAATTTATAAACAGCTACAAGAAGGTCAAGTGAAGATGCAATCAAGATTGGAGGAAGAAGAAGAAGCTAAAGCAGCTCTAATGAGTAGAATCCAAAAGCTTACGAAGCTCATACTCGTCTCTACCAAGAATTCTATTCCTGGATATTTAGGTGATACACCAGCTCATCAGCGCAGCATTTCTGCTGGTAAAGATGATGTAAGTTTGTTATTCAGATCTGATTATCACCTATATTCTTTTTTTATCTGTTGCTTGTTGGTACCTCACTGCCCAAGACGTTTGATACCATTGTGACTCATTCTGTTTTCTTTTTGCTCTTCAGAAGTTAGACTCTCTGCTCTTGGATAGTGATAATCTGGCATCTCCATCTTCAACTCTCTCTCTAGCATCAGATGCGCGACGGTCTTCCAGCAAGTTTAAGGATGAAAACTCTCCGGTTGGTTCTGGTGCAGAATTAACTCAAGTAAGTTCTGGGATTCTTAGCGTACATAGTTTTACATTGAATTTCGTTTATTCAAAGTTTGGTGTATTCTTGTTTTCAATCCAAATGGTTACAGGAAAGGGTATTCAATGATTCTGTGTCGCATGCGTACATTTAAGTGTTTAACCTTTCTTTTAACCCATGAGTATGGTTTTTTCACTGTCTTCTTATCAGAAAATGAAATTTGATAGTTGTGGCTATTGTAGGGCGTTATGAATCCAGATGAAATGGATCTCCTCGTTGAACAAGTTAAAATGCTTGCTGGTGAGATAGCTTTCAGCACAAGCACTCTTAAGCGTTTGGTGGATCAGTCCATAAATGATCCTGAAAACTCGAAAATCCAAGTAAAGATTCTTCTTTATCTTTCTGGAGTTTTATACCAGTATGACTGTGGTTTCCCTAATATCAAGTTTTAACCCTGAAAATCGGAAAATGCATCTCCAGACCATTCGCTGAACTTTATAAGCATTCCACTTTAAGCCATTCATTTACCTTTAAGCATAACTATGGAACTTATTATATTCTGGCATGCAGATCCAGAATCTAGAACGAGAGATTCAAGAAAAGCAAAGACAAATGAGATCCTTGGAACAGCGAATAACTGAGAGTGGTGAAGCTTCAATTGCTAATGCATCATCGATTGAGATGCAACAGGTAATTTAATCTATACATCTTATTACTATAATCCTTAACTCTGTTAAGGTCATTCAGTTGTGGACACAATGTGGATCAGCTAAAGTTATTACAATTATTTTGTTGTTTTCAGAAAGTTATGAGATTGATGACACAATGCAATGAGAAGAGCTTTGAGCTGGAGGTAAAATGTCTTCTTCTATAGCGAAAATGGAAGATTTCTCAAGTCAATATATATATTTAATTGTGTTCTACCTATGGATCAGATCATATCAGCAGATAATCGTATTCTCCAAGAACAACTACAGACAAAGGTCACTTCTAAGTCACAGACTCCTTTTTTCTTTTCATTCTTCATAAACAGCATTTTCTTTTGGCTATTATCTCAGTCATCCTTACTTCTATACACATGCTCTAACAACTTCAGTGTACCGAGAACAATGAATTGCACGAAAAGGTGCATCGTCTAGAGCAACGATTATCGAATCAGAAGTCCACACTGTCTTGTTCTGATGCTGTGACTGAAGAGTATGTAGACGAGCTGAAAAAGAAAGTACAGTCTCAGGTAATTTATCAAATTCTCAACCCTTTTTGTCAATTTTGAGATCACTCATCTCACAAGTATGCCTGATAAATATCTGCACCGATAGGGAAGAGATAGGGAAAAAACACACAAAATATTGTATATGAATGCCGGATCTCTGATTATATATACATGAACGTTGATGTTTTTATTCTTCAGGAGATTGAGAACAATAAGTTGAAGCTAGAGCATGTGCAGAATGTGGAGGAGAAGAGTGGATTACGAGTGCAAAATCAGAAATTAGCTGAAGAAGCTTCGTACGCAAAGGAATTGGCCTCGGCAGCTGCTATTGAGCTGAAGAATCTAGCTGATGAAGTTACACAGCTCTCGCTTCAAAACGCAAAGCTAGAAAAAGAATTAGTAGCTGCAAGAGACTTGGCAGCGGCAGCTCAGAAGCGTAACAATAGCTCCATGAACAGCGTGGCGAACCGCAATGGAACAAGGCCAGGGAGAAAGGCAAGGATCTCAGACTCATGGAACCTCAACCAAGAAAATCTCACAATGGAATTGCAGGCAAGAAAACAGCGAGAAGCAGTACTCGAGGCTACATTAGCTGAGAAACAATACATAGAAGAAGAGTATAAGAAAAAAGCGGAAGAAGCAAAGAGAAGAGAAGAGGCCCTTGAAAACGATTTAGCCAACATGTGGGTACTTGTTGCCAAGTTGAAGAAAGCCAATAGTGGCGCCTTGTCAATACAAAAGAGTGACGAAGCAGAGTCTGTAAAGGAAGACGAAGCGACAGAGTTAGATAATAATAGTCAACAAAATGCAATCTTGAAAGAGAGGCAAGTCGTGGATGGACATGAAGAAGTAATAGTTGCCAAGGCTCAAGAGACACGAAAGGAGGAACCCCTCGTTGCTCGTCTTAAGGTAAAACTTTTGCAAATCTGCGTTCTATTTTCTTTCAACATTCTTAGTTGTCTATAAACCTATTACATAGTCTAGCGGTAGGCAAATCATGATTCATCTCACATTTTTTTTTGTTCTGCATTTGATGCTTTATATACATAATAGGCAAGAATGCAAGAGATGAAAGAGAAAGAGATGAAATCGCAGGCGGCTGCAGCAGCCAATGCTGATGCAAACTCACATATATGTAAAGTCTGTTTTGAGTCGCCGACTGCCACAATTCTCCTCCCTTGCCGTCATTTCTGCCGTAAGTCTCACTCTCACTTTCCCTGAGGATCCTTCATTAAGTACCAAGTAAACTTAAAACGATGACAATATCTCTCTTTTTATGCAGTTTGTAAATCTTGTTCACTTGCCTGCTCTGAGTGCCCAATCTGCCGAACCAAGATCTCGGATCGCCTGTTCGCCTTCCCGTCTTGACCCGCGACAAGTCTAGTCACTCTCCTGCACAAAGTATAAGGTAATTCCAATAATTCCCACCATCACAAAATCTTTAAAATTCAAAATGGTTTAGTTCAAAAACATTAGGCAATCTATTATTGAAAGACGATTGTATGTGATTTTGCAGGTATCAAGAACTATACAGAAGTCTGTTTGTTTGCTAATATTTTCCAGAACGGCAGGCTAGAATTCTTTTATTACATTTTGGTTTTATTTTCTTGTATGTAATGTATTTGTTATATCTTTCTATTCAAAAATGTGGTAAAGAAAGAGGAAACATAACATGCTAACAGAAAAACAAAACAAAAGTAGAAAATAGAAACATATCTTATGCTATCTGCATATAAAAATAAAAAATAAAATAAAAAAAAGAATGAGTTAATCTGTTCATATTGCTCCCTAATCAACAATTAAGCTTTATTTTGCTTATGAAAATAGTTCCATAGTTCAAATATTACTTGTATCTGCATTGGCCAAAGCTGTTTCATATATCTATTGGGCTAAATCAAATATCGAGTACATATTTTGTTATTTTTACCATAACGTACGGGCCCAAATCAAGCCCAATGTCCATCATCCCAACTTAGTATTTGTATGTTTCACAAAATAATACCAGTTTGGACCGAAGAGTAATTGTTACGGCTCAGTAATGGATCTACTGAGCCCAAATGATACGACCATAGATTTTTTTGTTTTTTTGGTTTTTGGCCAACGAGGATTTGGTTATCGAGAGTGAGTTTGAACGGTCGTCAGAAATTCGGAGCTTTGTAGCTTCTCTGTGCCTTCACTATAATGGCGGCAATATCCTCTGTTCAATGCTTATTCTCTTGCAATTCTCATCATCATCAAGGCGACCAGGTGAATATCTAATCTCTCTGTTCTTACTTCTTCAGTATTAGCGAGAACTATCTTGTTGTATGACTTTTTATTTTTTTTCAAGTAGAGTGGGTCGCTTTGGAGATTGGGTTCTAGGGTTTTAGTATCTTCGAGTCTATGGAAGCTTTCTCTGTTCTCTGGATTCAATTTGAAGCGAAGGTGATTATGTTCTAGTTAATTTTGATTGAAAACAAAAATTCAGTAGAGATTTGGCCCTTGAAGCTATGATTATGTGTAATGCAGTTAGATATGAGATAATTGATTGCAATCTTTTGGGTCTAATAAAACAGGAGAACTTTGATCTGTGCAGTCAAGGGAGATCCAGAAGATGCGTTTAAGAAGACTGTCGAAATCGATAGGATGATTGATGCTCTTAGAGATGCAAACCCTAGACAAGTAAGTAAACATATCGAATGCATCGCAAAATGTTGTGTGTTTGTTATTATTTCTTGAGTAATTGAGTTTTGGTTTGTTGTTGTTGTTGCTGTTTCCATTGAACAGGTTGAGAAGATTGTTGTTGAAAATATCCTTGCTTTTGATGAGGTTTTTTGGATAAGACTCGCGGCTAGGTCAGATACTTGCAAATCAGAAGATGATAAGGCATGAGTTTCTATTGTTTATGTCAATGATAGAGAAGACTTTTTGAGCTCTTTTGTTTCCACTAATAATGCTTTGTGGACGGTTTGTTTCTTGCAGAAGGACTATGAGGAGTTAGCTACAACCGTAATGACTATAGTTGACTGCGTTGTGAATAAGACTCGGGTTTATATTTCTTCTCTTCTTTTGTGGTTCCATTGTCTCTTCTTCCTTTTCAGTGTTTCCTTTACAAGTTGACTGAGAATTCATTGAATCCGTGTAGGAAAAGATAGAAACGTCTACTGATATTCTGAAAGGGATTTTAAGACCGGCTATAGATGGAGTGGAAGAGATTTCATGGCCTCCAAGAGATCCTGAAGCCATCAATCTAATGGAAAAGGTTTATACTAGTTGTTGTTCTTCACTTTCCTTTAAGCAAGACATCATCACTTTTGTTTTGTATACAACCATCTGCCTCAGATATCCACAAGGGCTATCTAGTTTTGGATGTCTTTATGTGATATAGTCATTGTTACTGATATCAGTATATTAACAGGAAATAATACAACGAGAAAAAGAAGGGCAATTAGATGAAGGATTTCTTTCAGAAGTTAGTGCTCAGCTCCGGCAGGTAAGTGCAATAATTTGCTTTGTTTCACTTACAAGTTCGTTGCAAATATTGGTCATAGTGCTCAGCTCCGGCAGGTAAGTGCAATAATTTGCTTTGTTTCACTTACAAGTTCGTTGCAAATATTGGTCATAGACGATTGACTTCTATATAGCACAGAATTCTGGGTTCGAACCCGGTGGATTTTCTGAAGGAAAAAAAATGGTCTTTCCTTTACAGTGATTAGATGTATTCTTTTGAATGTTTGAGGCTGAAGATTGTTTTCAGGCAAAAGAAGATAAAGACAAACCAGGGTTATTGGCTATGCTGCAAAAAGTTCTTCAACTCTATTCTGCTACTATCCTCTCCAAGCGTAGCTACGCAAAGAAAGGTGATTTGCTTAATTATGAAAACTTTGCCAAGTCACTCTAGACCATTTTCTACAAAACACAATCTCATCGTGTTTGCATCTCTAAACTCAGAAAAACTTATCAATTAGAGCTTCTGGTTGTTTGTCACAGGGAACGAAATTGTTAAAGCTGAGCATTTTCTCGAAACTCTGATTAAAGGTCTCTTCTGCAACCTCTTTTCCATGTACTATGGACCCCAGACTTCACATTGGTTTATTATGTGTGGGTTTCAGCTCCTGAGGAACAATGGAACAAGCTTTTCATAGACGGGTTAACAATCGGAAAAGGAGATATCACACCTGATGAGCTATCTGCTGTTATCAAGAAACGAATCGAGCGTACACTGATTCGAACTGTAAGTAACATAAACTCTCTAAACAAAGCCACATAACAAAGAAACACCGTGAAACATTATTTTTCTTCCTCTCCTCTTGTCTGCATTGTCTTTTGTAAGTGGATGGGAGGCTAACCGGGTTTTGATTTGGGTTTAAACCAGATGGTTACCATATCGGTTTAGAAAGAGTCAGATTCATTTCAAAAGAACTCTTCATTTTAAGTACCCATTTATAGGATACAGAGAAACCACCACGAAACATTTACTTGCATTATTTTGGTCTCCTCAAAGTGAGTGTGAGGCAAACCGGGTTTTGATTTGGGTTTAAACTAGACGGTTACCAATACGGTTTTCCAAAATTCATCAGTCTGACCACATTTATTTTGATCATACCAGGAAGGTGGTTCATACCAGCAACGAATCTTAACCGAGTATCTCAAAGGAATCGAGTCCAGGGCTAATGAAATTATGAAATTACTTCAGGGTTAATTCTGTAAATCCATGATTTATATATATATTTCCAATTTTATGTAATATCAATTCATAACACCAATTAAAATTTGTTGCTATAGTTTTTCTCTCATAAATTAATTTTTATTGAGCATTTGAAGTGTTAACTGATTTAAAAAATAAGAAGCTCTAGTCAAATTTTACAGATTTTAATTATCTTGGAATGTTTTTTTTTTTAAAAGTAAAGTTAATGTTTCGATATAAAATTAAATAAAAATAAAAAAAGAGAGTAATTCATGCCAATTAAATTAGCGAGACGCAAATTGGAGCCAGAGATAACTGAGCGGAGGGATTCAGATCTATACGACAAAACTGAATCTCACCGTCTTCTTCTTCTTCTTCTTCTTCTTCACGACGATCCTTGTGTTTCTCTTGCTCTCGCATCCACGCTTCTCTGGTAATGCTACGGATCGTCACCGTGAAGCTGAGCTTGATCGCTTCCCCTTGTGAACTCATCTGATCTGAGGTGAATCTCTATTTCTTCTCCTTCTTCATTGTTCGTATCTCGATTTCTCGGATCTTACTCCTTCCTATCGTTAGATCTGTTTTCAATTTCACGTTGATTACGTTTTTTTTTTGCTTTTGCGGTTTTTTCGATTTCTATGAACTGATCTTTCTCCATGATTTCATTCTCTGTGATCTGATTTTTGTAGAGTTGTTTCTGTTTCGTAATCTGTGAATATGCTGACGAAGTTCGAGACCAAGAGTAACCGAGTTAAGGGTCTGAGTTTCCACCCTAAACGACCATGGATTCTCGCCAGTTTGCACAGTGGTGTGATCCAGCTCTGGGATTATCGTATGGGTACTTTGATCGATAGATTTGATGAGCACGAAGGACCTGTTCGTGGTGTTCATTTCCACAGTTCTCAGCCTTTATTCGTCTCTGGAGGTATGCTTTCTTTTGAACGCTAGTTTTTTAGGTACAAAAGTCCTGTTTATTAAATTTTCATGATCTATAAATTCTGATCTGCTTAAGTATTAACCCTTAGCGAGTTAGCGTCCTCGGTTTCTAGATCTAGCTTGGTGTCTTTGCAGAGGATAGTTTGGATGACTTGTCCCAACCTCTGTTTAATGGATGACTTAAGCTCCCAGCTGGAGTTTTGATTTGTGTTTCAGATACTTATATTACATATTGGATAATTGGACCTAGTCCATTGAAGTCAGATCTTATGTTTCATGTGCATAGTATTGTCTTTGGGCATAAGCAAGTACTCAGAAACTGTAAATGCAAATTGCTTGGATTGTTCTTCATCATAGTTTTCCTACTGCTCTTCCAGAACATTACTGATTTGTAGTTAATGCATTGATTACATTGGATGTTGCAGGGGATGATTACAAGATTAAAGTTTGGAACTACAAACTTCACAGGTGTCTTTTCACTCTTCTCGGGCATCTTGATTATATCCGCACTGTCCAATTTCACCACGAAAACCCATGGATTGTGAGTGCTAGTGACGATCAGACTATCCGCATATGGAACTGGCAGTCAAGAACTTGTATTTCCGTGTTGACTGGTCACAATCATTATGTTATGTGTGCTTCTTTCCATCCAAAGGAAGACCTTGTTGTGTCAGCATCACTGGATCAGACTGTCCGTGTTTGGGACATTGGTGCTCTTAAGAAGAAGTCAGCATCTCCTGCTGATGACCTCATGCGATTTAGTCAGATGAATTCTGATCTTTTTGGTGGGGTTGATGCTATAGTTAAGTACGTCCTTGAAGGTCATGATAGAGGAGTAAACTGGGCTTCTTTTCATCCCACCCTTCCTCTCATTGTCTCTGGTGCCGATGACCGCCAAGTAAAGCTGTGGCGTATGAATGGTACTTATGGATATCCATCTTCTTTTTTCACATAAAGTTAATTTTATGAATCATTGAGGTACTGATGCGTTTCAATTTTATTGCAGAAACTAAAGCTTGGGAGGTGGATACATTGCGAGGTCACATGAATAATGTTTCATCCGTTATGTTCCATGCAAAACAAGACATAATTGTATCAAACTCTGAGGATAAAAGCATCCGTGTCTGGGATGCTACCAAGCGAACTGGAATCCAAACTTTTCGCCGTGAACATGATCGATTCTGGATTCTTGCAGTTCACCCTGAGATTAATTTACTGGCAGCAGGACATGATAATGGTATGATTGTCTTCAAACTTGAGAGAGAACGTCCTGCATTTGCTTTGAGTGGTGATTCATTATTCTATGCCAAGGATAGATTTTTGCGGTACTATGAATATTCAACTCAAAAAGATTCCCAAGTTATTCCTATACGGCGTCCTGGTACCCCAAGCTTGAATCAAAGTCCTAGGACTTTATCATACAGTCCGACAGAAAATGCAGTCCTAATCTGCTCAGATCTGGATGGTGGTTCTTACGAGTTGTACATCATACCGAAAGATAGCGTTGGCAGGAGTGACGTTGTGCAAGATGCAAAGAGGGGGACAGGGGGTTCTGCGGTGTTCATTGCACGAAATCGGTTTGCTGTTCTCGAGAAAAGCACCAGCCAGGTGCTAGTGAAGAATCTAAAGAATGAGGTGGTTAAAAAGAGTTCTCTGCCTATTCCCACAGATGCTATCTTTTATGCTGGGACTGGAAATTTGCTTTGTAGGTCTGAAGACAAAGTGGTTATATTTGACCTTCAACAAAGGCTTGTTCTTGGTGAGCTTCAGACACCGTTTGTTAGGTACGTTGTTTGGTCTAATGATATGGAGAGTGTTGCTTTGCTCAGCAAACATACTATCATTATTGCGAGCAAAAAACTTGTCCTCCAATGCACGCTTCATGAGACAATACGTGTGAAAAGTGGAGCCTGGGACGACAATGGTGTCTTCATTTACACAACTCTGAACCACATCAAGTACTGTCTTCCTAATGGAGATAGTGGAATCATCAGAACCCTGGATGTCCCAATCTACATCACCAAGGTGTCTGGAAACACAATCTTTTGCTTGGACCGGGATGGGAAAAACAGGGCTATCACCATTAATGCAACCGAATACATTTTCAAGCTTGCACTGCTGAGAAAGAGATATGATCATGTCATGAGCATGATAAAGAACTCCCAGCTATGTGGACAGGCTATGATCGCTTATCTTCAGCAGAAAGGTTTTCCTGAAGTTGCCCTCCACTTTGTTGAAGACGAGAGGATCCGATTCAACTTGGCTCTTGAAAGTGGCAACATCAGTGTAGCTGTTGCATCCGCTACAGAGATTAATGAGAAAGACCACTGGTATAGACTCGGAGTGGAGGCTCTTCGTCAAGGAAATTCTAGAATTGTTGAGTTTGCGTACCAGCAGACAAAGAACTTTGAGAGGTTATCTTTTCTATATCTCATTACTGGCAATTTAGACAAGCTGTCAAAGTTGATGAAAATTGCAGAGGTGAAGAACAATGTAATGGGTCAGTTTCACAATGCTCTCTACCTAGGAGATGTTAAAGAGCGTGTTAAGATACTAGAGAATGCTGGTCATTTGCCTCTAGCTTATATCACAGCTTCGGTTCATGGTTTAAATGACATTGCTGAGCGACTGGCCATTGAGCTTGGAGACAACGTGCCCACATTGCCTGAAGGGAAAACTCCATCGCTTCTAATGCCACCGCCTCCCATCATGTGTGGTGGCGATTGGCCTCTTCTGAGAGTGATGAAAGGAATATTTGAAGGAGGGCTTGAGAGTGCAAACCGAGGAGGGGCTGTTGATGAAGAAGAAGAAGATGTTGAAGGCGACTGGGGTGAGGGACTTGATAAATTCGATGTTGATGGAATGGAGAACACAGACATTGAAGCCATATTGGATGGTGCAGAAGCAGCTGAAGATGAAGACGACGGGGAAGGTGGATGGGGGGGACTTGAAGACTTGGAGCTTCCACCAGAGCTTGATACTCCTAAAGCCTCTGCTAACGCACGTTCATCTATTTTTGTGACACCTACTCAAGGTATGCCCGTAAGTCAGATTTGGAGCCAGAAATCTTCCCTTGCTGCTGAGCAGGCTGCAGCAGGAAGCTTCGACACTGCAATGCGTTTGCTCCACAGACAGCTTGGCATTAAGAACTTTGCACCTTTAAAATCAATGTTTCTTGATCTGTTCAGTGGGAGCCATAGCTATCTGCGTGCCTTTTCTTCATCTCCTGTGGTTCCTCTTGCCATTGAGCGTGGATGGAGTGAGTCTTCCAGTCCTAACGTCCGTGGCCCGCCAGCTCTTGTTTTCGATTTCTCTCAGCTAGAAGCGAAGCTCAAATCCGGCTACAAAGCCACAACAGCTGGGAAATTATCTGAGGCTCTCCGTGTCTTCCTCTCTATTCTCCAAACCATCCCATTGGTGGTAGTTGAGTCAAGAAGAGAAGTCGATGATGTTAAGGAACTGGTCATCATTGTTAAAGAATATGTCCTCGGTCTTCAAATGGAGCTCAAGAGGAGAGAGATGAAAGATGATCCGGTGAGGCAGCAAGAGCTCGCTGCTTACTTCACTCACTGTAAACTGCAAACACCTCACCTACGGCTTGCATACTTTAGTGCAATGACCGTCTGCTACAAGGCAAAGAACATGGCTACTGCTGCCCACTTTGCCAGAAGTTTGTTGGATACAAACCCAACTATTGAGAGCCAGGCCAGGACGGCTAGACAAGTTATGCAAGCTGCTGACCGCAACATGACAGATGCAACCGCGCTCAACTACGACTTTAGAAACCCGTTTGTGATATGCGGGTCCACTTACGTGCCAATCTACAAAGGACAGAAAGATGTGGCATGTCCTTACTGCACTGCCCGGTTTGTACCAAGCCAGGAAGGTAACATCTGCTCGGTCTGTGATCTTGCAGTCATTGGCGCAGACGCATCTGGTTTGCTATGCTCTGCGTCTCAAGTCCGGTGAACAAGTCAGATTGATTATGTGCTTCAGTCGTGAGGTAAGTACGAGATGCTCTTTTTATGGAAGAAGAGTGTTGAGCTTTTGGTGTTTGTGAATTTTCCGCTGCAACTTCTATTACTCTTTAAGTCTTAAAGTTGTTTCTTATCTTAGCAACAACGCATGAGAACTTTATCTTCTTGCTTTATATTTCTTTTTGTTTGATTTTGTTTTTACAGTCTCAGGACATTTCATTTAGGCTTATCGGATTTTAAACTCGATCATTATGTTGAGAAATATAGACGTAATATTTTATAATGTTTCCATTTTCTTTTGGTAAATTTTCAGTTGATGCGTAACTACTTTTTTCAAAATACTTACAATTATGGAAAATGTCGGAGAAATACCCATCGAATAGAAGAGGCTCCAATAAATGTGGTTATTAGCTGAATCGTTAAGGCTGTGTAGTAGATAAAGCTCACCATTTCATCTGAGTGGGTAACGGACCAACTCTCGAAATGACTCGATCACAACTGCCTCTTTACTCTTTTTCTGTTTCTCAATTTGTCCGGCCGCATCGCATGATATCTCTTCGATTTGAGTGTGAGAGAATTTTAAGGAGGACTCCCCACATTTGTCTTCAAAAACTATCCCGATCATGTAGTTGCTTCATGAATCATGAAAGCAACTACATGAACGCTTCCTAGCTAAACATGACCGCGATAGTCATGCCAGTCATTTCATGCCTCCGGCACACGGATGATGGAGTTTTGTCCCTGGTCAAACTGCTTTCCACAAGCTTACCAAATTCCGGATAAACTGAGTTCTATGATTAACACCATCCATCTCGATTTAACCGTTTGACGAGTCTCAAAAATACTCGTCCAAAACGTTAAACAATATACCAAAACCTTTTGAAAATTAATGATATAGATAGATGATGATATATGCAAGTTTAAATCTCATGTTTAGATGTGGACATTTTGGTTCGGTTCATTTTGGTTTTTGTTTGAATTCTAACAATTGTTTGGGTTTATTCGATTAGCTGGTTTGGTTTGGATCAATTAAAATCTCTGTAGTGTTTTTTTTTTTTTTTTTGGTAAATAATATCCTTGTAGTGTTTGAATTTTCACAAAAGGAAGATGTTTATTTTTCAAAACTATTTTTAGTCAAAAAATCAAATGATAATTATTCCTTAGATATGAAGAAAATAATTAGAAAATGATGGCATCATTAGATTTAGACCAATAATAAGAGTCCGTTATTTAGTGTTCATCTCTGTATATAAGTTGTTAGTCCCAATTTGCCATGAGAACTCGACAATACATATATATATCAGAGCAATTCACTCAAATCTTTACGAGGATTCAAATTTAACCCATCTTCTTCTTCATCTGTAGAGTTGTTCTGTTTCGTTATCGGAGATTATGTTGACCAAGTTCAAGACCAGGAGTAACAGAGTTAAAGGTCTGAGCTTTCACTCTAAAAGACCATGGATTCTTGCGAGTTTGCACAGTGGTGTGATCCAGCTCTGGGATTACAGTGTGGGTACTTTGATCGATAAGTTTGACGAGCACCAAGGACCTGTTCGTGGTGTTCATTTTCACACTTCACAGCCTCTATTCGTCTCTGGAGGTACATGCTTTCTTCTGTTCTTCTATAATTTAACATAAAGTTTCGTCCTTTATCAATTTCTCATCCATGTTAAAAACTTTTGGGCATTCTTGGTTTGTTGGTTGATATTGTTATAATTCTTCTTCATCACAATGAATGATCTTAATGCTGGTTTATTATCTTAATCTTGCAGGGGATGATTACAAGATAAAAGTTTGGAACTACAAAACACACTGGTGTCTTTTCACTCTTCTTGGTCATCTTGATTATGTCCGCACGGTTCAGTTTCATCACGAATACCCATGGATTCTGAGTGCCAGTGACGACCAAACTATCCGTATATGGAACTGGCAATCACGGACTTGTGTCTCTGTCTTGACTGGTCACAATCATTATGTTATGTGTGCTTCTTTCCACCCAAAAGATGACCTTGTTGTATCAGCTTCCTTAGATCAGACTGTTCGTGTTTGGGAAATTGGTTCTCTTAAGAAGAAGACACTATCTCCTGCTAATGATATCATGAGGTTGGCTGAGATAAATAGTGATCTTTTCGATAGTGTTGATGTAACAGTCAAATATGTCCTTGAAGGTCACGAAAGAGGTGTAAATTGGGCTGCTTTTCATCCCAACCTGCCTCTTATTGTCTCCGGTGCAGATTACGGCGAAGTAATGCTGTGGCGTATGAATGGTAAATTATTTTATGTTATCAATCGTCAATGATATACTTGTTTGAAAACTTTGTGTATGCCTTAAGATGTATCTCCTGATAGCGGAATTAAGGTAGTAATGTGTTGTTTTCAATTATATTGTAGAAACTAAAGCTTGGGAGGTGGATACATTTCTAGGTCATATGAATAACGTATCATCCGTTATGTTCCATGCAAAACAGGACATTATTGTATCAATCTCTGAGGATAAAAGCATCCGTGTCTGGGGTGCTACCAAGGGAGCTAAAATCCAAACTTTTCGCCGTGAACATGATCGATTCTGGAGTCTTGCAGTTCACCCTGAGATTAATTTACTGGCAGTAGGCCATGACAATGGTATGTTTGTCTTCAAACTTGAAAGAGAACGTCCTGCATTTGCTTTGAGTGGTGATTCATTATTCTATGCCAAGGATAGATTTTTGCGGTACTATGAATATTCAACTCAGAAAGATTCCCAAGTTTTTCCTATAATGTGTCCTGGTATCCAAAGCTTGAATCAAAGTCCTAGGACTTTATCTTACAGTCAGACAGAAAATGCAGTTCTGATCTGCTCAGATCTGGATGGTGGTACTTACGAGTTGTACATCATACCAAAAGACAGAAGCGACGTTGTGCAAGATGAAATGCGGGGGAAAGGTTGTTCTGCGGTGTTCATTGCTCGAAATCGGTTTGCTGTTCTGGAGAAAAGCACCAGCCAGGTGCTAGTGAAGAATCTAAAGAATGAGGTGGTTGAAAAGAGTTCTCTGCCTATTCCCGCAGATGCTATCTTTTATGCTGGGACTGGAAATTTGCTTTGTAGGTCTGAGGATAAAGTGGTTATATTTGACCTTCAACAAAGGCTTGTTCTTGGTGAGCTTCAGATACCGTTTGTTATAAGGTACGTTGTTTGGTCTAACGATATGGAGAGTGTTGCTTTGCTCAGCAAAGATACTATCATTATTGCGAGCCAAAAACTTGCTTTCCAGTGCGTGCTTCATGAGAGAATACGTGTGAAAAGTGGAGCATGGGACGACAATGGTGTCTTTATTTACACAACTCTGAACCACATCAAGTACTGTCTTCCTAATGGAGAGAGTGGAATCATCAAAACCCTGGATGTCCCAATCTACATCACCAAGGTGTCTGGAAATACAATCTTTTGCTTGGACCGGGATAGGAAAAACAGGGCTATCACCATTAATGCAACGGAATACATTTTCAAGCTTGCACTGCTGAGAAAGAGATATGATCATGTCATGAACATGATAAAGAACTCCCAGCTATGTGGACAGGCTATGTTCGCTTATCTTCAGCAGAAAGGTTTTCCTGAAGTTGCCCTCCACTTTGTTGAAGACGAGAGAATCCGATTCAACTTGGCTCTTGAAAGTGGCAACATCAGTGTAGCTGTTGCATCCGCTACAGAGATTAATGAGAAAGACCACTGGTATAGACTCGGAGTGGAGGCTCTTCGTCAAGGAAATTCTAGAATTGTTGAGTTTGCGTACCAGCAGACAAAGAACTTTGAGAGGTTATCTTTTCTATATCTCATTACTGGCAATTTAGACAAGCTGTCAAAGTTGATGAAAATTGCAGAGGTGAAGAACAATGTAATGGGTCAGTTTCACAATGCTCTCTACCTAGGAGATGTTAAAGCGCGTGTTAAGATACTAGAGAATGCTGGTCATTTGCCTCTAGCTTATATCACAGCTTCGGTTCATGGTTTAAATGACGTCGCTGAGCGACTGGCCATTGAGTTAGGAGACAACGTTCCCTCATTGCCTGAAGGGAAAACTCCATCGCTTCTAATGCCACCGCCTCCCATCATGTGTGGTGGCGATTGGCCTCTTCTGAGAGTGATGAAAGGAATATTTGAAGGAGGTCTTGAGAGTGCAAACAGAGGAGGGGATGTTGATGAAGAAGAAGAAGATGTTGAAGGCGACTGGGGTGAGGGACTTGACAAATTCGATGTTGATGGAATGGAGAACACAGACATTGAAGCCATATTGGATGGTGCAGAAGCAGCAGAAGAAGAAGACGACGAGGAAGGTGGATGGGAGGGACCTGAAGACTTGGAGCTTCCACCAGAGTTAGACTCTCCGAAAGTCTCTTCGGTTTTTATTACACCTACTCAAGGTATGCCCGTAAGTCAGATTTGGAGCCAGAAATCTTCCCTTGCTGCTGAGCAGGCTGCAGCAGGAAGCTTCGACACTGCAATGCGTTTGCTCCACAGACAACTTGGCATTAAGAACTTTGCACCTTTAAAATCGATGTTTCTTGATCTGTTCAGTGGGAGCCATAGCTATTTGCGTTCCTTTTCTTCATCTCCTGTGGTTCCTCTTGCCATTGAGCGTGGATGGAGCGAGTCTTCCAGTCCTAACGTCCGTGGCCTGCCAGCTCTTGTTTTCGATTTCTCTCAGCTAGAAGCAAAGCTCAAATCCGGTTACAAAGCCACAACAGCTGGGAAATTATCTGAGGCTCTCCGTGTCTTCCTCTCTATTCTCCAAACCATCCCATTGGTGGTTGTTGAGTCAAGAAGAGAAGTCGATGATGTTAAGGAACTGGTCATCATTGTTAAAGAATATGTCCTCGGTCTTCAAATGGAACTCAGGAGGAGAGAGTTGAAAGATGATCCGGTGAGGCAGCAAGAGCTCGCTGCTTACTTCACTCACTGTAAACTCCAAACACCTCACCTACGGCTCGCGTACTTTAGTGCAATGACTGTCTGCTACAAGGCAAAGAACATGGCTACTGCTGCTCACTTCGCCAGAAGTTTGTTGGATACAAACCCAACTATTGAGAGCCAGGCCAGGACGGCTAGACAAGTTATGCAAGCTGCTGATCGTAACATGACAGATGCAACCACGCTCAACTACGACTTTAGAAACCCGTTTGTGATATGCGGGTCCACTTACGTGCCAATCTACAAAGGACAGAAAGATGTGGCGTGTCCTTACTGCACTGCCCGGTTTGTACCAAGCCAGGAAGGTAACATCTGTTCGGTCTGTGATCTTGCAG